CACTTCGTCACACAAAGTGTGTGTGTGTGTGTGTGTGTGTGTGTGTGTGTGTGTGTGTGTGTGTGTGCGTGTGTGCGTGCGTGCGTGCGTGTGTGTGTGTGTGCAGGGGGTTTTCATTAGTCCAAACACATTTAGAATTTATATGAAGACACTACTGCGGCAGTAAATTTTACGAGCGTCTGGGTCGTATGTATCGTTGACGAGTCCTCGCACGCCGTAGCCACTGGATCATGTGACGTGTGTCTGGCGCTCTACCTTGCATGTTGGGCACAAGCCTCCTTCAAACAGCGGGTGGAAGGTTGCACTCGTCTTCCCACAAGACAGACAAAACTCTGCCAAAGACACACACAGAAAAACACAAAGATCAAAGTGGGATTTACCTGCCAAGGATCAGGAGTCACAAACACAGGTGGGAATGTTTACCTTCGATACTTCTTTTATTCTTCAGAACTTCATTCACCATTTGTTCTGGCAGCAAAGCACAGGAGATGTAAAAATAAGTGACATAAACTGCGAACTTTATACGACTCAACCAACATAAAGAACAAAAATAATTCAACTGAAAGCACAAACTGATAGATATGAGATCTGTGTTAGACAGAACAGCTGAGAATATCATCTCTACTAAATTGTTTCATTCTCAAAAACATAAAAGCTTTATTTTTCCAACATTATGCTTTAAGTGTAGTTTAGTCCTAATCACACACTTTATTGTTTGAATATGATTCTCTGAACTGGATATTTTTGTTCTCAATACACATTTACACATAAATGAGCCGAGATGTTGGGAGAGTTGCTCATTTCCAGCTCTTTATGTTTAACCTTGAACTCTACCAGAGTAGCTTTGCATGATTCAGATCATAATAATCCTTCTTTATTTAATACTGGGCCTCGAGGCAGCCCCTCAGTTCAGCCCCTGTCTAAAACGAGTTGTTTTAGCTCCTCCTGCTTTTGAAAGGCTGCAGTTTTGAGGAACAGGTGGGCGGGGTTTCCCTCTCTGTGACATCATAAGGATGCTGTAGTGTAAAAACTGTGATAAAACGGGTTCAGTGTGTCTCTGAGCACATCCTTGAAACATACAAATGTTAAATACATAACTTAAACCAGATTTGCTGACATACATTTCTAAATAACATCCCCCACTTTGTGAGGGTTCACTGAGTTTAACCTTTGACCTTTTACCTCTGTTGCACAGCTCCTCGGGGGCAGCCTTGCTCTTACACAGGCTGAGTTTGGGCCGCTTTGCGCTGGGGAAGTACTCGCACAGGGACACGTCGAGGACGTGGTGCTCCAGAGGGTTACTGTCTGCGGACACATACAAACACGCTTACATCCTGCAGCCTGTTTGGGATCAACAGTGAATGACAGTGTGGCTCTGCTGCCTTGCTCACTGGCAATGTGTGTGGGTTTCAGTCCTTCCTCTCCTTTGGGCAGGAAGCCCCCATTGGCCCAGTCCAGCATGGGTTTGACCTGGTCCTCTGGGCTATTCGACTTGCAAGGAGGAAACGTTTTCTCTGCTCGGATGCTCGCCATCTGAGGGGGAGACAGACGTTATCCTACTTGGGACGGACTGAGCACGTGCAGATTCAGGTGAAACCACGGTGACAGAAAGCATTTTACACACAGATGGGAAAAAGGATTCAGATGCTCCACACGGGCATTTAAGGCACGACAAGCCAGGCAGGCGAAGCTCGACCAGTAAAATGTAAAACAGACTCAATCAGGAGGGCGCTTTGGGTTCCTGTAAATTACTGCCGCCTGCGCCTGCAGGAGGAGCTCAGTTTGGCAGCAGCACGTCTGTAAAAGTTGGGACGGCTCAACAAAATCAAATCAAATCAAATCAAATCACTTTTATTGTCACATCACATGTGCAGGTACATTGGTACAGCACATGTGAGTGAAATTCTTGTGTGCGAGCTTCACAAGCAACAGAGTTGTGCAAAATACAAGAATGTAAACGCTGAAAACCGAGAAGAGAAACAGCTGGAGGAAGATTTATCAGCTGGTCAGGTGACCAGCGCTGGGTCACATGATCAGAGCTTCACCAAGCTGCAGAAACTGAATCCTCACTGTGAACATGACGTCATCTACACACCGTGACATCATCAGCGCGGGGACGAGGACGATAACCTTCAAACGCCGCTCTGTGAGAAATCAGTGCGCGGGCTCAGGAACGCTTCCAGAAACGCCGTCTGCGAGCGACTGGGCGTGACGTCCGCCCGTGTAGGCTCCATCACGTGGAGGAGAAGCCACGCGTGACTCCGATGGAGAAACGTCCCCGTCTCCTTTAAGACTGATCTGAGGTCAGACCCATCCAAACATGGACGCCATGTCCAGACCTTTGAGAACATCTGGAGCATCGTGAAAGCACCGACAGGACTGCTGAGCAGCTGGAACCCTCCATCAGAACGTGGCGGCGTTCCTCAGCTCACAGAGCGTTACAGACCGATGGACCTGCTTACTCTGATTACACACCTGAGCCCTGTGTCGTTATGAATAGAACAGCTCATGAGACTTACAGCTCGCTCATGTTTGAGGAGTGATAATGGGTCTCTGTGACGGTCCATGTTTAACACGCACCAACGACTGGACAGGAGATAAGATGCAGGCGGATCGCTGTCTCTGTGTCACCCGAGCGTCACGTGTCACAGTGCAGGATGTCAACAGCAGGCTGTTTCTGCCTGAACAGTTCGACAGGCGAGCTTCAATTATAAAACTCGTTTGTAAAATACCCGTGTGAAGACTCTCCTGGTGAGAAAGCCCCGAACGCTTTTAGCAGGAAGACGAGAGGCGAGCAGCGAAGGGGCGGACGGGAGACGAAAGACGGCAGCACGAAGACGCCCGGAGGCCGTCTCGCTCTCTCGCACACGCTCCGTTACACAAACACAGGTGATTATAAAAGATGTCGAGTTAAAGTAAACCGAAGCTCTGTTTCTTCTAACGATTGTTTGTGCGTTAAAGACTAAAGCTGACTGTGTTCCAGTGTTTGTGATAAAGTCGAGTGGCTGCAGACTCGTTTACTCATAAAATACATTTCTGTTCCTCTCACACACTCAAATCCTCTCGCATTAACACGTTTATCTGTGCAGCCCTGATGCAGTTATTATCTGAAATCTGATCCTCTGTGCCGAGCGTCCCGTCCTGCCTCCATGTTTCTGGTTTCTGCAGGAAAGGAAACGTCTC